GACAGACCCGGCCTGAGTCAGCAGCGGCAAAAGAGTTGTTCGACCTTGCGGGCCGCTCACCCCTGGGCCGGGCCGCGGTCGGCGGCGCGGCGGGCCGCGCGTCAGCGTACCGGGAACGGGGGAGAGATGGAGTGTCCCGGGCGCCCGCGCCGGCAGCGCGCCAGTCCGTGCCCGGGCGAAGATAAGCCAACCAGCACTTTTAAACTGCAGATCTATTGTTTTTGCACGGCAGGCACATTTTCTTGGTGTTGCGTGGCGCGAGGAGAGCGCGCACAGGGTAGAAGCCTGGAGGACGGTGAGGGAGGAGGACACCGTCGGGTCGACCAGCTTCCATGAGGCGAGCCACCCCGCCGGGCGGCGCCGGGCCGCCCTGATTGTATCTGCCCGGGGGGACGACGTACTTCTATAACACACGGCCAACTGGGGCGGCGGCCCTGCGCGCGCAACTACCTGGAGCGGTGGTGGACAGTCAACACCGGGGACCTGGCGATAAGGCCTCATAAAGGTCCTGTGGGGCCTTGAGGGGGGGGGGCGGAAGGTAGCCGGGCCGCCGTTCGGCCCGAAATGGTCCCACCGGCGCACGGGCGGGTCCCGCCCAGCAGCCCGCGGCCCACAGGTGGTGAGCCCCTGCCCGTCCCGTCCGCCCGTCCGCACCCGCACCCTCCGGGATGTTGCCTCTACAAATATTAGCGACCGAGAAGTCCATTAGGAGAGGAGAGACCGGCCGCAGCGGCCGCAGAGACACACAGCCTCCGGGGACAGCAGCGAATCTCAGCCAGCAGCGGGCGGGAATGAGATGAGGAGGTGGAGGGCGGAGGCTGGAGCAGGGAGGCTGCTGTGGCTGCCATCTCGAGACCGTGTTGAACATGTGAGGCGCGGCGTGAAATGAACATATGTTTCGCCTCTCGTTCCTCCCTCCCCGTCCCTCCCGACACAAGAGGGTCGCACTTTTGCAAGCGCGTCGCGGTGGGCGGGGTTCGTTTCGCGCCCGCGGCGCACAGCACAGCAGCGCAGCGCGCGCGTGTCCGCGCCACTGGGCCGAGTAAATGTACTACTGCTCCCGCTGCTTACTGCCATTTCCCCCGCCCCCGCAGCATGGCACGGCATATGTGTGTGGCCTGGCGCCATCTGGATCGCAC